CAACTTACAAGGATTAACTCTTTTTTTAATAAATCGACCACTTAAAAAAAAATACTTGTCTTTTAGAATTACCTCCAATATATCTAATAGAATTTATTTCATCATGTTATTTATCGCAACATAAACTAAGTACTTGTTAAGAAATACGATAGTGTCCTAGCTTTACCATTAAAATATTCAATATACATTCTAAATCTCCTCATAAACGTCCCCAGAAGTTGTCTTGAATAAAGAGGAGCAGAGCTTAATGGTTCCTTCAAACTGCCACGGATGATGCATGGTACAGTTAAGCCAAGAGGTCGAGAGTGGCTCTGGAGGACCAAGTGTCACTGGTGTCCCCCGAAAAGCCCCCAGAAGTCCATGGGTCCACAGATGCGATGGCGCGGCGTCAAAAGCGACGCTGAATTTATTACGGGGGACTTTATTTATGCGCTTATCGCGTTGCCAGTGCCGGCCTTAGCACGTTGTCAAGTGTTTATTTTGGCCTCGGACCCGGACCCCATACCCATCCCCAACCCGGGGCCCAAAACCAGATCCCCGGCCAGACCGAAATGAAATACCAAAAAGCTTAAAATTGAATTTATGACTGCACCTAAATCATGCGTCGAAAAACAACACAACTTACGAATATGCGAGTGTTTTTGGGCCCAAGAGTGTGTGTTTCTGAATGAGCCTGTCGCATGATTTAGGGCTGCCATGTCGCAGTCGAGAAATTTAAATAATAAATATTCCATAGTTACACAGACGCACAAAGCCAGAAAATGGAGGCCCAAGCCCAATTTCGATTCCAAAATCCAAACAATTCGTAAAATATTCAAAGCGAGCGCGACTAAATCAAAACGTTGTCGAAATAAAACGTTTGAAAATTGAATTTGGCTCGGGCGAAATTGAAAAGCATTTGTAACGGAAATGAAAATCGTTCGAGGGTGGAAACCAACAAAACTCGATTCACTCTGACTCTGAATTTAAATTAAGAAATTTATCTTTTCAATGGCCTTTGTGTGTGTGTGAGTGCGTCTTTGTTGTTGGCTCAATGTAATTTTTTTCGAGCATCTCCCACCTTTTTGGGACCATAAAACTAAATGAATTCAATTCCTTTGTTTTGGCAAGCGTTTTCGCTTTGGGTTCTAAGATTGCTATCGGCTGAAACTTGATATTCAATACTTTGTTTGTTTTTTACTAAAATGTTAAATTTATTTGCGATAAAAACGAGTCTCATGAAGTTATTAAAATTAGCCTGCGAGATAAATTTAATCGCGCCGTTTTGCACCTCTTCTAACAATTTGTACTCGAGCGGAGAGCAACGATTTCGAGCGGTTTTGAAATGGCTTTTATGGCCGACTTCATGGCTAATAAAAATTTGCATTGTTCGACCGCCAAGTATTCAATTCTACTGGTCGAAACCAGATCGGTTGTGGCCAAGTCCGCCGTCTTCATAAATTAGCAAGCCAACTGCCACGGGAATTAGCATACGAAATTACGCTTCTTAAAGATAAATACCTTAAATTGGTTGTTATTTAGAAGTCCATAACATAAATTCGAAAGGCAAATAATGTCATTTGTCAATGGGATTACGAATTTGGGGCTGCAATATTTTCACAGATTTTATTGTTTTCTGCGCTTCTTAAATAAGTCGATTCGACAATTTGTCGTTAAAATAATGAAATCATGTGCTAATGAGTAAGCCTTAATTTTAAGAGCAATACATATTTTGAGTGGGCTTTGGTGTTCTTAGGAGAATTATTTAAATATTTAATGAGTTCTTTAGAACCCAAATTTGCTAATTATTTATCAATATTTATCAGTATTAGGTTCAGCTCGCAGGGAAAATATGACTGCATTGTTATCAAAATGAGTGAATTAGTTACAGGGCAACTATCATTTAATAAATGTATTATTGGTACAAAAAGTAGCTTTAATAAAAATTAAATTGAATTGATGTGTTGAGTAAATTTATATTTTTAAAGTTCAAAAACTATTCAAATTAATCTATTTTGTAATCATTTTCCAAACCACTTAGATTTAAAACTTTAAATTTACTCTTACAAATGATTTTAGGCGGACTCTCAAATTGTCTATAAATGTACTTCAAAATGTTGTTTTAGTTTACTTACGATAGGTCCTAAATCCTATTAGGAGAATATCTCAAGTTATGCCTACACCCATTTAACACTTTCCATTTAATTTTCAATTACAGAGCACTCACACAGCGAATAAATTGTCCTGCCGTCCGATTTCCACCCCAGGATATTGTATATTACACAACTCTCGAGGACTGCTCTCCATTTTGGGCACATTCAAAATTCAGGACGCGTTGAGGTGAGCCCACATGTACACGAATTATATGTATGTTGCACATTATTTATGGGAGCTTCGGAGTTTCGGAGTCCGTAATCAAAACAGGGCTTCAGATGCTGGTGATATGTGAGGCGGGGAAGTGTGTCAGTGGGCCGGCAAAAGGGTAGCTGAAGGATATATTTGGGCCAGTTGGACAAAAGGCGAAGCCCTCGGCCAATTTGTGCCATGTGTGTGCGACGTGTCCCTTTCGCCGCTCGAGTGGCACAAATGAAAGGGCCAAAACAGAGCGCAAAAAACCAGATACTGACCACCGGCCAATGACCGGACCTGAAGCCAAAAGGCCTGACTTTCAGCTCGAGCAGCTCATTTGCATTTTCCGGAGCGGAGGCAGGGAAAGTGTTTCCAAATTGCCACTCTATGTCCTGCATTTTTCTCTTTTGCGAGTCTGTTTTTTAATTCCAGTTGCCAGTTGGTCTGTTGGTTTTTCTAATTAACGTAGGAATTTCCCATTTCGTAAGTTCCATTCTTTTATCGTTTTGATGCCGCCCGACCTTTTGACCTCTTCGTAGTTCGGGCTTTTCGGAAGTTTCGTATATTGGTGGATGAATTATGCCTAAACAGCGATAGCCATCTAATTAGATGAGTTATGGCGCCGGCATAACGCCGAGTATCTCGCTTTCGGATAAGCGTTTGCCGCCTAATCCCGCCCCGGGGCCAAAACCCAAACCCATGCCAAAATCGGGCCCAGAGATAGTAAAATAGTCCGACTTGGGCTCAGGCGATTTATGAGCTCGCATTTTGCATAGTTTGAAATGGCACAGAGCCCGAGCTTGGACACATTTCATTTTCCCGGCCACAAATCTCCCGTTTTGCATTCGGCGGCCATGAATCATGACTAAAAGGGGAGTGGATTTGGGTAAAGCGGTTCTAAAAATTTAAATCGATACAATGGGAAGGGAGCCTAACAAAAGACTTAAAAAAGCATTTATATATCTACAATTTAAATTCAAAAAAAAAAATTTTTAAGTCGTAATTAAAGTCGTTTGTCGTGGAATTGAACGAAATAACAAAACTTTCAGCAGATTAAAGGGCATTTCGCATCGATTCTGATCCAGGCCTTATTTTTCGTAATTCTTAATACCGGGAATCAAGCGTACAAAATATTTTTCTTCGAAATCTGATAACAAGCCATTCGTTTTCTTAAGAATAGTAGAATTTGTTTGTAACAATAATTTAACGTTTTTGCTGGAACGGAGTAATAAATATCTGAGGAGGGGTAATTTTTAAATTTTTTCAATTTATGGAAGGATTCATTTCAGCAAGTTTTTCGAAACCAAAGTATGGCCGAAATTCATATTCGCGAATTCATCAGCCTCACCCAAAGTGGTTAGGTATTTAGACTCGTAATAAAGAAAATTTCCCCACTGTTCTTTGGAGGTTAACCCGTTAAATGCAAAGCCTTCTGCTGAACGGCCAGTTTCGGGTTGCCGTTGAATGGCATCGGAATTTATGCACATTTTATTGACCAGCTCGGAGAGAAAAGAACGGAGCAGAGTTGAGAGTTGTTTGTTGGGCCAACAACATGTCCGAAAGTGTTTTATGGCCGTTGTGGGCGCTCGAGTGGCCATTTTGGGTCGATCTGGGGATCTGGGGATCTGGGGACTCAGAGGGACATGCACTCCCACATGCACTCTCCGGACTTGTCCGACAAGCACTTCTGGCCGAGGAGACGAGGGGCCCTGAATACAGATGAGCCTTTGGCCAGATGAGTGTTGTACTAAATACTAAACACCCGCCACTATTTGCAACTCTGCCGGCCCTGATTTATGGCTCATGAAAGGGGCTTTAAGCTAAGCCAGCAATTGGAATTAGTTTAAGTCGTTGGCGGCGAGTCAACGACCTGCCATAGAGCGGTTCAAAGTCAAAAAGTCAATTATACGGATACCTAAAAATACAACGGCGGGCTGGAGTGGAAATCTCGTTAAAAGCCAATAACAGACGCCATTAAATGTGCATGAAAATTAAATGAAAACGGCCACTTGAACTTGGGCGGGAATATCAGTTCTTGTGTGCAGTAATTCGAACTGACCTCGGCGGATCCAATTGGAGGGCAAGTTCAATGGCATTCGGGGGTTCGATTGGGCATTCCTGGGGGAGTGGCGATCAAAGGCCGCAGCGAGATAAGAAAGTTTCGATAACTTTAATTTATTCGAGCACACTGCCATCTGTTGCAAAGCGCAAGGAACCAACACTTATTTAATCAACGCGATAGGCGTGAGCTGTACACTAATTATAAATCCGGTATAAAATTATTGAACATGGGGGGTTAATTTAAATGTTTGTAAAAGGAGAATATGAGAGTGCATTTTATAGTTTCATTTTATACGGGACTTAATAATGTGTTATGGACAATTTTGTGTATCAAAATTTATAGCCCTTTAAAGAAGTCGAAAAACTTAAAATTGTATTACCACCGATAAGTTTATGATACTTTTTAAATTGACGCTTGTCAGTATTCCTTTTTTAGTGCATGTGCAAAACAAAATATTCCAAGATCTTTACTATTTTGATCTTGCCACAAGATCTGTTAAAATCTTCTGTTTGTAGAAGTTTGTCTATTGATTTAGATATCAATTAATTATAGAGTATTTATAAAAGTTCACAAGAAATCTGTGCCCTAAAATTCAAAACTAATATCTAGGTCTGGATCCCACCTCCTAGAATAGTCAGTAGTACTTCACAAATCACACTTGGTTGTCAACCCACTCCCAGTCCCAAAACAAATAGTATTTTACTACTTTCCTCACAATACACGGCAAGAAATGAATCGCATACTGGAGGAGGTGATCCGTCAGAATGGAGCCACGGTGGATCGCATATTATCGGAGCACACTTTGGGATACGTGGTCTCCGACAACGTGGCGAATGCGGTGGCAGAAACGTCCTTCGACAACACCAGTGCCCAGGCGATCGTGAAGCACCTGAATGGACTCCTGGTGAGCACCTGCCAAAGTGTAGTTCGGGACATTGACCCGGCCAACAAGCTGTGCTTCATGCGGCTGGCCACTCGCAAGTTCGAGTACCTGGTGGCACCCGAGGAGTACTTCACCATCACGGTCGTCCAGTGAGGGGAATGGGAGCCACACTCCACTAAAACTCCAGGATTCAGAAAAAACGAAGTCAGTATTACTTTAGAATTGACTGAGACTTTTGGGAACAGTCTCCTGAGAGTGATCAAAATTCTTAGGATATTGTTTCCTAAAATCTCTTGGCCATTCTCTTTAAATATTGTACAAGACTAAAGGAAATACAAACATATAAAATGTGCGTTATAGGAAATTCGACAAACGTGTTTTATTTTTTACAAATAATATTAAGAATTAACTTCATTTTTGGGGTTCACTAAAGACCAATGAATATACGGATAACTACTTGGGACTTGTATATACTTGTTTTGGAGGTGTTAAATGGTTACGACATACTATATATTATATAATAACAAGTAATCCATATATAGGGAAAAAATCTTTTAATCCGGAAATTTTTAAAGATTATTTTCATTTTGTTCGATTTGCTTAACTCTAAAATGTAATTAAGTAACTGTCGAAACCACCAATTCTAGGAATCCTGTAATATTGTGATGAATAATTTTTAAGCCGTTTGTTTGTAATGCCTCTAAAATTTTTTAAATAAATCTATATCTTGGTATGTATCTATGGTATCTATGGAATTTCATTTTAATTTTATGAATATCTCTTGTACAAGCCTTATAAATAAGTTTTGAAAAATTAACATTGCTAATATAGATTGAATGCAAATGAGATAAAAGTAAAATGTCGATCAAAGTTGGAGGTCTGAGGAATCTTACGACTGTGGGGTGGCGATGGTCTTGAACCCTTTCGAATGGCAAACAAACACAGGAAGAATGCTTAAATCAACAGGGCTGCCCGAAAATCCTTTATAATGCCCCGGCGACGTTCCGATCCCGATTATTTACGACATGGCTTCATCGGGCCGGGAATCTATCTGTGAGAATGCGGCATCTAATGCGATAATTTAAGAGATTTACTTCTGTCAACATGACCATTTTGTCCGCCCGGTTTTCGGGGTGGAAATGTGGCCTTTGACCTTTTTCCTTTCGCTGCTTCCATCTTGCTGCCACAATGGAGGCTGCCTGCTATTTTAATTTAAAATGGCAGGACTCGTAACTCATTTTTACGACGCACCCTCCGGGCAGATGAATGTGTGCGAGTGTATCTTGTCCTATTTTTACGGATCCCATGCAGGGGTTGCTCCTCGCCGGCTTCAATAACTTATCTGCCCTTTTTACCCGATACCCGACTTTCAACCCGAGTCCATAATCACCACGAGACGCTCCTGGGGTGCTTTGTGCTCCGGCAGCTATCTTTAAGCAGTTTCCCATTGTCTGGCGTCGTTTTGTGGTGCTGGGTAAATATGAAAATGTACAAATTTGTACAGAAACGGAGAACGGAAAGCAGAAACTTGATTCAACTGGCTCTCGGCACAATGGGCCAACTTCGATGGTGGCAAGGTCGAGCGTTTTCCCCCCACCTCGACTGTCAGAATTGCGCACTTCATTTGAGGCAGCGTGAAATGAAATTACTCCACGGTCCATTCCCGGTGACGACTTTATTCGTGCGAAATTATCAATGCCCGGGCAAATTAGAAACACTTTGAATTAAATTCGAATAAAACGTTTTTCAAACCATCGTCAAGAGGCCAACCCAATCGCATTTCATATTTCACATTTTATGGACTCGTCAGGCGGCTACCGTTCCCATCTCCCGGTGTTCACTGTACGGGTGTGCCAACACGCTCTATGAATTCAATTAAGTTGTGCCGCAAACCTGAAAGTGAAGTTGCAACACGACTCAGGCAATGAATGTGATGAATACTCAAGCGCAACATCTGCTCTTTAATTATTTCTATATATATGAAGGAAGTTATATATTTATTTACTTCTAAAAAATTAATATTATAGGTAAGAGGTTTGGCCATTCAAAGTCACGTGCCCGTTCAAGTTTTAAATTTAATTTTGGAATAAATGGAAAATGAACTGGACAAATTTTAAAGAAAGTATATTTTCTTTACCACAATTTTTTTGCTAAGGGTCTATCGCTTTAATCAAAATATATATTTGTTTTTGCATGTATTCATTTACAAATGTAAAAAATACTTTTGGGGATTTTGCTGCCTAAATTAAATTATGGTAGACTGCTTTTCATTAGGAAGGTTAGCAAGAGGTTAAAAAGAGTTTTACCAGCGGCATTACAGCTGAAGTTAACAATCAGTAAAGGTTACATCAAATTTTAAGTTAAAAAAAATTAAATAAAATAACTTACCTTTCTATAAGAAATAAAATTTATTAAGCAATTAAAATGTCTGATAAATAAATAAACATTTCCATAATGTATAAACTTTCTTCTATCCTACAATATTAAATCAAAAACTTTCCTTACTTCCTGTGTTTAAAAACTTTTAACGGGAGAAATTAGACATTTAATGACACATAAAATGATTAAAATTTTTTAAAAGTACATGATAAGTATTAAAGTGTTTCTCGAATTTTTTACTTTTAACGCCGTCGGCTATCCGCAAGAAAAAAAAAGAGCGGAGTATGGAGACTCGAGGAGAATGAGTGCCTCGAAATACTCACTCAAACGAAAAGGCCAAGCCCATTTTCATGCTGGTGGTGGTGATGAAATGCTGGATTTTTTCTGGCTCGTTCAACCACCGCGCCACATTTCCAGTTTCGACTCGCAGCGGCGCAGACGTCGCTTGGCGGGGGCGGATGAGCGATTTCTTGCAAGAAGCCCAAAATAAAAAATGTTGTTGGTCAAAAAAAAACAGAACTAAAGCAAAATCAATAAAGTATCACAAAATATCGGAGTCAGTGCAAATATTTAGTAAGCTAAAAAAAAAGAATACGAAGTTAGTTGCAACCATTTACTATGTTTGAAAAATAACGGAAAACAGGATGAAGTTGCAGATATTGTTCGGCAGATGGCAGCACTGTTTCGCATGCGCCATCTGTAGGTTCTGTCATCGTTAGTTTGAGAGTCAGTTGTCAGTCTAGTTTTAGAGCCACTGTTACTCCTTTAAATACTGGTGAAACAGATTTCACCGACCGAAGCGGTTAACAGTGAATGTTAACAATAGAAAGATGGCAGAGCCGGGATGGGGTATTGAAGGTATGATTTCGGTCGTGAGGCTTGGGAGCGTTTCCTGTGGATGCGGGGGAGTAAGTCGCAACTTTCGGGGGTCTTACGACGGGGAGCGTGGTCGGAAGACTGAGAAATTGGGGAAAAACAGGCAAAGTTCAGTTTGACGGTCTGGTAGCACTGTATTTTGCACAAGGGTAACACGCGCGCCGGGAAAACTGCTGTATTCGATCACTTTTCACGGAAAACTGATCGCGGCGACCTGCGACCTGATTTCGCGAGACACAGATTTCAGGACCAGGCAGTATGACCACCTTTGGGTTTAACGCAAATATAGGCGCTTTCTGGACTCTTTCGCAAGGCGTTACGGGACCTTCTGCCTCTTCTCCAATGCTTTTATACTATTTTGGCGCCTTTTTGAAATTCCATCTGGATGAAAATTTCCAATAAGCCTTCGATTTATTATATATACGTCGGTACGGCTGAGTCTACGAGATATAGTTAAACAAAATTTTAGAAATTAACATTTTTTTTTAAGAATATGACGATCTGTAGCTTCCATAGAAGAAAAAGGAGAATAAAACATATACAATACTGTGATTTCGATTATTGAGAGACTTACTTTACATATTCTTCTCTTCGAGAGCTCAATAATATTTAAAACAAGAGAGAACGCTATAGTCGGGTGCCCCGACTATCAGATACCCGTTACTCAGGTAAAGGGAGTGCGAGGGAGATGGAGATAGAAACTTTGATCACGCATAACTTTTTAACGAATGGTCCGATTTGAAAAATTTCTTCTACATTTCCATAGGTATTGATAAACACAATAAAACTGCATTTTTACTTTTCCGAAATATTTAAATTTGTAAAATCGTATATAAGCGATTGTGGGCGTCAGAGGGGGCGTGGCACCATTTTGAAACAAACTTGCGCTGCGTAGGAACTCCTAGAATCTGCATGCAAAATGCCAATCTTCTAGCTTTTATAGTTTCCGAGATCTCAGCGTTCATACGGACAGACAGACAGACAGACAGACGGACAGACAGACAGACAGACGGACAGACGGACATGGCTAAATCGACTCGGCTAGTGATCCTGATCAAGAATATATATACTTTATAGGGTCGGAAACGCTTCCTTCTAGCTGTTACATACTTTTGCACGAATACAATATACCCTTTTACTCTACGAGTAACGGGTATAATTACAGATAATATGTAAAAACAAGAAAGGAAAGCTAACTTCGGGCGGAGCCGAAGTTGATATACCCTTGCAGAATACTCTATAATTATATTCTCCAAAATTATTCCTATGATGCATTCTTAATACTCATAAGAAATCCAAACTTCCTAACTTTAAAAACACCAAAGTTATGGCATTTCCAATCGTTCAGTATATGGCAGCTATAGGATATAGTCGGCCGATCCCGGCCGTTCCGACATATATACTGCGTGCAAAGGAAAGAAGGGTGTGTGCAAAGTTTCAATTCGATATCTTTAAAACTGAGAGACTAGTTTGCGTAGAAACAGACAGACGGACAGACAGACGGACAGACGGACAGACGGACATGGCTATATCGACTCGGCTAGTGACCCTGATCAAGAATATATATACTTTATAGGGTCGGAAACGCTTCCTTCTAGCTGTTACATACTTTTGCACGAATACAATATACCCTTTTACTCTACGAGTAACGGGTATAAAAATAGATTATTAAAAGTTTCCAAACTAAGTTGCTTCCAAATAATTATTTTAAGTCTGCCTGCTCTGTTGGAATTTTTAGAATTCGAATTAGTCCTAGCTGAACTGGGACTATATAAAAGTAGCTTTTTTTGTGATTTATTTTAAACAATCTTTAATACCTTAGTTTTACTGTGAAAAGAAAATTATTTAATCCAAGTGAACGTTTTGTTCTAGTGAAATAACGCTTATTTTTTTTGATAAAATTCTACGACTTGCTTAGCATTGTAAATATTTTCCCAACCACAGCTAGTTTTCATAGTAAAATTTTATTTTTTAAATTTTTTGTGTTGTCGTTAATGCAATTTTATTACAAAACAACAGACCTTTGGCTAAAAAAGCAACATCTTCGTCAAGAACTAAATCGATTTGTTATTTTTGTTAAAAATATGTTTTGATGCTAACGTAAAAAAGCGAAC